AAGACATATAAATGAACAGTTGAGCCCAGTGTATCAACAGGGAGCTTTGATTTATTTAGTTGTTTTGTACAGACGAAACACCATCCCCTTGGGGAAATAATCTACTCTGATAGTGGATTATTGTGACTATTCACCACCACTAATTTGTTATAGCCTGCCATTTATTTTATTTAATTTCACCCACAGAGATATAGAGCACATGATAAGTTTTTATTTTTTTTTATTTTATTTTTTTTAAAACAAGGTTCTTTTGTCAGACTTGGCAATCTATCTCTGGATATGTATATTTCTTTTGATGTTTTAGAACATGTTACTCAGTGTATATGAATGCTATATTTGATTATTTGTCTTGCATTGGTCTGCAGTTTGTTCAGTTATTAAACTGCTCTTGGCAGCATAGGAAACACAAATCGGAGAGTATATGGATTAATGTCTTTTCCGTTATTTGTCCGGTTTCATATTTAATTCACAACAACAATAACAAAAGCAACTTTACAAGGTGGTGTTCTCATTTTCGAGAGAACGCTAGATTTGCTGGAACATAATCAGCCAGTGAGCTGCAAGCACACATCGAGCACCAGAGATCACCGGCACAGTACCCTGATTAAGTGACAGGACAGCTGGGGAGAAGGATGTACGATCACAGTCGGCAACAATCAGTGGCCTCTCTCCATCTTCTTCTTTCCTACTGCCAAACTCTGTGTCAGCACAACCCAGAAGATATCGCAACAGACTTTTCCCCTCAGGTGCAACATTGTCATAGTTCATTAATCTTCTCAAACTTTTCCTGCCGCCATCAGCCCCGTGCATACTACTAATCCCCTTATTAATGTGGCAAATGAACCTGCACAAGAAGGACGACTCCCTCAAGGCTCTATAATTACAATGGTCTGTATAAACTCCTGTTTGCATAGAATATCCATTCATTAAATGTACTGACAAGATGATGGCCGAGGTACTCGGCTAAGCATTTATGTTTTACTCCTCACACATCTTCATCCCATCAGTATATTCCATATACTTTACCTTCTCAATTGCGTGCCAATTTTTTTCAATACCATTCATATCATAAGTAAAAAATGACACATGGGACAAAACTAGACCCAAAAGAAAAAAATGATAAAAATGTATTGGTACATGTGAATGTGATTTTATTATTTGTTCAGCCAACACTGCATGCACGAGGATGTATACTGTCTGTCTCCGGAGGAAAAACATGACTTCTGGTGTGGAAGAGCATATTAAAGCAGTTGCGATAGGTTAATTGTAGGCCAACTGTATTGTTCTTTCCTGCCATGCAACAAAAATAGCTACTAACCCAGATTAATTACTATTTTTTTGTATTATGGTTGCACAACTGGAAACACTGTGTAGGCTCATAACTGTGTTACCATTTTTGTATTGTATGTGATCACTAAAAAAGGGTTATGGGAAAAAAGACCTCTTATGTATTTGTAAGAGTGTATAGTAATGAATCTATTGACAACCAGATTTAAAAATTCACTATCAAATGTATCTACAATTCTTGACGGTGGTAGTGGTGGGGGAGGGGGGTTGCACTATATATTCACTATGTATTCGTGATGTTTTTAAACACTTTCACTGCAATTACTTTTAATCCCTGTTCCCCTTCAGTAAGCCAAGTTAATGTGTTGATAACATGAGCTCTGGGATCTGACATACAGCACATAGTTAATGCATAGCCACTGGGCTCGTGTTATTATAGAGAACCGCATCTATGTCTAAGCCTTCTGACAGCGAGAGAGTAAGACTGATGGTGATGATTATACTTAGTTTTCTTGGATGCTCGTGTTGCCGAATGAAAGTAGGACAGTGTTTTTATCCCTTTTTTTCTTCCAGTGTTGTTTACACTAACATGGGTCCCTAGAGGGTACATAATAAGTAAAAAAAAAGAGAGAGAGAGAGTGAGAGAAAGAATGGGTAGGCCGGAATCGCTTCTATTGCTTTCAGCAAAGTTTGGGTCCATACAGAGCTGATTCTAAAAGGCATTTATCTGTGATGGAACTGCCGAAGATGTTTGCTATTACTACACCATACATGTTCTACACTCTCTGAAAAGCCATCACTGAAGGTCATGCTCTGCTGTTGCGATCAGTGTCCGTCCCTCTGTTTACTTTTATCAATCAGTTTCCTCCATTATTGATTGGTGTGGCATAGAAGCAGCTCTTAAAACGCGGAAGAAAGTAGCTTTTCACATCTTGAAGAAAAGGTCAGCATCAAAAGGCATTCCCCTCAGCTTTGTGTCTCTTATTTTTTAACGTTCTCCTCTGCTTAATTGCTCATTTCATGTTAAATTCAGGTGACCAAGGATGGTTGGTGCTGGTTTCTGCTACACACACATCACTGAAAAGTATTAAATTTCATCATTCTATCAACTGCTTTTGTGATGCCTCATACAGTGCAACAAATCAGAACTCAACTGGTTGCAATTTCAGTATATTACATCAACTCACATTTTACAACCAAAAAGTAACTGGTAATAACTTTGAATCGTATTGACACATTTTTATTATATACCTATATATAAGACAGACTTTTAATAATGCTGTTACTATCTTCCAAAGCGCCTCGACTCTGCTGGGAATATGATATGATAATCCAGTGGTATTACCTTCTGGATATACTCTCTGCTTTGGATTTTATTCCAAGATAATTGTTTTAATTTCTTTCTGTCTTTCTTTTGCATCCAAAGAAAATTTAGCCAATTTTCATTTTAGTTTTGATCATTATTATAATCATTTGGCAGTGAGAAATGCAAACATGAACTTAACTTGTGAGTTGATGGGCATTGGCTTAAAATGGAAATCACATGCACATGTTGATAGAGATGATCTGCATTTTTAAAATAATCATAACATGGTATTGCCCCTTTGTCTGTCAACATGGCCCGTTTATCCTGTCAGTGCAGTTTAATTGTTTTACCGCAATCAATAACTCCAACAGTTAGATGCTTTATCATTCAACATTTCATAGTAGTATATATGACTGAAAACCAATAACAATCAGAAATAAAGACAGATGATGGTTAAAACAACATCAATATTTGTATATCTGTTTTGTATATTTGTCCAGAGATGAGTGATTTTGTGTCTCCAAAAAAACTATTGATTTGATTAAGACTTTGTGAATTCTCGGTCATAAGACATGTTTATAAGGTTCAAGTTGTCAAAGCACGTGTGTTCAGAGAGAAGACGTTAAGCTGGCAATTAAAGTGCCCTGAATTACACTGAGGCACAACCTGAGAGCATTTTCCCCCATTACTTTCTGTTCAGTTTAGACTTATCCTCCACACAAGTACCCTGGAAAGCACGAATCAAGCTGCAGAGAGCTGCGTGAGCAAAAGTGTATATCCTCAGTGGCACTATTGAAAACACATTGGCTCTGTTTGTGCGCTTTTTTTTAATCATTTGTCAGAACTATTGATTCCGATAAATCTTGTGTGGAATTGTGGGATGACTGAGCAAATCAATGAAGTTGTGCTTACAGCACGGTGTCATATCTCATGTGTCCCCCTCTAGGGCTGGAACGCTGCCCTCCTATTCTAAACCCACCCCCCCCCCAGTAACCACCATCACCCGTTTCATCTCCTCGCTTTGCCCCCGTCTCGTTCTCACTTCACCGACTGCTCGCACGCGCCGACGGTGACTGGCGAATGACGCCACCCTGAATGCCTCTTTTGACTGCTACCTTCTCACAAAGACGCACATTAATTGCAACCCCCAGATGAGGTGACCCGGAGATATGCGTTGACAGGAGTCGCACAGTGTCACCCCTGTAATTCCACTCTCTCCTCCGGATAGATCGTATCGCTCACATCTCCAACTGCCATTATCAATCTTCCCTGTGCAGCATCTGCATCATTAGGCATGAGCGTTTCACTAAGAACACTAACGCAGGTTTCGCTCCTTACTTCTCCTCACTTGCATTCCACTGCAGGCTGGCCAAGCGCCAGGTCGCGGCATGCAGCGCAAGACTGCCACCTAAAGGTTCAGTACCACCACCCGTCAAGCCTGACCCACTGACAACCATCTCCCGGCTTCCTATCCGCCCCCTTACTCTCTGCCTGCTTCCCTCCTTCTGTCGCTCCCCCACATTTATCCACGTGCGCCACATTACAACGGAACTGTCTGTTGTGTGGAACTGCTTTATTAGCAGAAAAATTAATAAGGCTTTGATAAAAAAATTTTTAAAAAAACCTGCATGTATAACGTAGGAATTCAAGGCTCATTATTGGCTAATCCTTTTTGAATTGGATGTGTATCAAGTTCCAGAAGAGCTTCACTCAGTTCGCCGCTGTGATTTGAGAAGAGGCATTTAATTCGAGCTTAGATGAAGAGGCAAAGCCCACAATGACATTCACAATAAAGCGGAAGCAGACTAATTATTGACCGTTGTTACTGCAGCAGGTGTTGAAAAGGTTACAGAAGCGTTTGTGATATTACAATGCACACCAAAACAAAGAAACAAACAAAGAAAAGAAAAAAACATGAATACACTCAGATTTATGAGGAGAGAGGTGATCAGTTTTTTTGGAGGGGGATTAGGCAGCATTTAGCTGTAATGGAGAGAATTATAGGAGTAGATAGGCAAGAAAAAAATGTTTCTTTCACAAAGAACATCAAGTCACAAGTAATGATATGTAGGTACATTTGATAAGTGATCTAACCCGGATGTTGAAGAGGGAAAAAAAATAGAGTAGAAAATAAGGCAAGGCAATTTTTCACTAACTTGCATTTTGTTGAATATGAGTTAGATATATCACTGACAGAATTCTTTATGATTATTACCCACAAATTATGCTTTGGATTGTTTAGTCCACAACCAACTCTATTAACTAGAAGGTTTTTTTTTCACTTATTTACTCCTGGTTTTATTTCTACTTCAGATAAATTGGAACTTGCTGAGGCAGAAAGTCTCGCAACTCTTTTTTCTGTTGCTTCAATGTAACTTAAAGTGAGTGCCTAATCTAGACTGGCACTTCAGCACTGTGGAACAGGGCAGTTATAGGCAGTACTTATAGACCAGTAAAAGTGCTCCTTTACCTGCTGTCTGGTGTGCATGGGCCCCTTGGTCTTGAACCCTCCTTGGGAGCTGCACTCTGAGGCACTGAAGTGATCGGAGCTGGTGGAGGATCGCTTCGAAAGGGTGTCACAGCCTCCAACAAATGTGTTATCCAATGGGAGTTCCTGAATCACGTGATGCTTCTTCACTGATACCGGCGTGTCCGCCTTGAGGTGGAAGGCTGATTGCGGCGAGGCAGATTTGTAGTGGCGAGCCAGGTCAGGGCTGCTAGGTTTGAAGGTTGTGGTGGGTGTGGCATTCCAATCAAAGCGACCAATCCCTTGCTCTTCCATCTCTGTAGGCAGACTGATGGTTCCGTTTATAGGCTCGTGGGCTGGGTCGTCAGGTTTGTTCCCCTCGATAGTGACGAAGTTGAGCAGAGAGCTTTTGGGGGACTTCCTTTTCTTGCGCTTTTTCTTCTTGTTCTGTTTGTTTTCCGTGTTGGGTGACATCCACTCAGCCCCCTGTTTTTTCCTCTGTGCAGCTTTGAACCTGGAAGCGTGGCGACAGCGCAGCAGCACCGTCACAAAGATGACAATAATCACCACTAAGGCGCCAGTGACAAAGGCTATCATTATGGTTAAATAGTCACCGTTTTGATAAGTTTCACTGCTTTCACCAATGTTTCGGTCAATCGGGGTCTCCATTGTACGCCGGATGAGATCGTATATGAGAGATGAGTTGCCCACAGTGTCATTGACATATAAATATACCAGGACAAGGGTGTGGAGGGATTTTGGATAGCCCAGGTCACTAATGTTGACTACTAATCTGTGTAAGCCTATGTCAGTTACCGTTGGTTTTTCTTCCAGGGTAATATTTCCGGTGACAGGGTCGATTCTGAACAAACCCTTGTTGTTACCACTGACGATGGTGTATTTCAGTTCTGCGTTCATCCCCGTATCACCATCCACAGCAAACACCTCTGCCACCACGGATCCCGGAATAGAGGAGAGAGGCACTAGCTTGAAAGATGTGTTGGAAGGGGGGTAGATGACAATCGGGGTGTTGTCGTTCACATCGATGACGTTGATGGTCACCTTGGCAGCTGAGGAGCAAGGAGGCCTGCCGCTGTCCACAGCCCTAACATCAAAGGTGTAGGAGCTCTGTTGCTCCCTGTCAAATGACACATTAGATTTTATCACCCCGGAGTATGGATCTAGTATAAAGTTCTCATTGTCATTCAGTATAGAGAGCGAGACAGCAGCATTTTCCCCTGCATCTGAATCTGTCACAGTTATCACCCCCACAGTGCTGTATTTAGGCAGATTTTCTGACACAAAGAACTGAAAGTGGTTATGAGTGAATTTAGGATTGTTATCATTTTCATCCAGCACAGTTACGATAACAGCTGCCTGTGTTTGCAGGGGGGGCGTTCCGTTGTCTCTTGCAGTCACAGTAAAGAGGAACCTGTCCTGGTCCTCCCTATCGAAAACCCTGGAGGCAGTCAGGACGCCTGTTTTACGGTCCAAATCGAAAAATGATGCATTTGGTCCCAGCTGATACACTATATCAGCATTCTTGCCGCTGTCCTCGTCTGTAGCGCTGAGAGTCGTGAGGAATAGGTCACGCTTGTTGTTCTCCATGACGGCCAGCTCAATGACTGGTTGAGTAAAAATAGGTGGGTTGTCGTTCTCATCTGCAAGCCTCACTCTCACCAGGGCCGTTTGATTCAGGCTTGGTTTTCCGGAATCAGAAGCTACAATCTTAAAGTTGTACTCTTTTGTCCCTTCATAGTCCAGTAACGCAGATGTCTCCAGCAGATACTGGTTATCATACACAGCTTTGAGATGGAAAGGCACGTCTTTCTCTATGAAACAAATGACCTTGCCGTTGATGTCAGTGTCTTTGTCCGACACTGTGATCAAAGCTATCTTGGTGTTGATAGGATCCTTCTCCGAGAGGAAAACGGTGCCATTAATGGGACTGATTATGTATCTCAGGTCAATATTGGGTGGATTGTCATTAACGTCAGTCACATTTATGGTAACAGTCGCTCTGGCTGGACTTGAGCTCCCATCACTGGCTAAAACGGAAACCTTATGAATAGCGGTCTCCTCCCTGTCCAAAGGTCTCTGCACTGTAATTAGGCCAGATGTTGTGTTTATTGCAAAGAGTCTTTTTGTAGCAGGAGACACCTGAGTCCCGAATACATAATGTATTTCTGCATTTGCCCCTATGTCTGCATCTGTGGCCTGGAGCTGCACAACGGACGTGCCAATCGGGGAGTTCTCTGGTATGTGCACCTCAATTTGATTCTCTTTGAATGCTGGCTTGTTATCGTTGACATCTGTTACAGTAACCTGAAGAATGGCAGTGCTGGATTTCTGTGGACTGCCGCCATCCTCTACTTTAATCTTCATCACATATGTGTCCTTTTGCTCTCTGTCCAGATTCTGCTGCACAATGAGCTGGGGCCACTTCTCCCCCTCAGGCGTTTCTACTATGTCTAATCCAAAGGCACTCTGCCCATTGATCAACTCATATTTGTGAACACTGTTGGGTCCGGTGTCTGGGTCGGTGGCAGAAGGAATAGCAAAGCGGCTGTTAATGAGGGTGTTTTCTGGGATAGAGATGTTGATCACAGGGGATGGGAACATGGGGGCATTATCATTTGTGTCTTTGACGATTATTTTTATCTTAATCAGCCTGAAATAATCATTAGGCAGTATGACCACTTCAATTTCAAAGGAGCACTCGCTCTCTTCAAAAGAGGGACCGGGGCACAACTTCTCTCTGTCGATTCGGTTTGATGTTGTGAATATCTCTCCAGTGCTACTCAGAACACGGACCAGTGGGTTGTCTCCAGCTTTGGAGACAAGCCGGTACACAAGATTAGCACTTGCTCCAGTGGCAGCATTTGTATGGGAAATGTTTAGGTCCTTTGGTATATTTCCGATGAGAACATTTTCTTGCAATTCCTCTCTGATGGGGTAGATAAGTTCTTGAGCTATCGAGGGATCCAGCCATATGCAGGCAAGCAGGGCACCCAACAGGTAATAGTCTTTTAGATCCATTATACTGTCAGTGTGGCTCCAGTCTTCACAACTCAACAGTTTCTCTCTGTGAAACACTGTTACAGGCGGCAATTCCTTGCAAGCGATGGCAGGAATCTTCCACAAACACACCTATGAATATATAACAGAGTTTTCCTTCAGTGAAGTAACTTCAGCATAAACTGCAATTACATTAAATCAACAAGCAACAATTCCCCGATTAACTCTGTTGTCCACGCTGATCATGTCAATTACTCAATGTTAAATATTAGATTAAGATTTAATCTGCATTTTATTCAAACATTCACACAAATAATAGCAAGCAGGAGGCTGAACTGCAGCAGCTTTTCGTTTTTTTTTCTCCCCCTCAAAATCCTCTATATTTTATATACACAAAGAATTATTAAAACCCCCCGCCCCCGTAGGCCACAAAACTTCACAACACGTTACACAGTCTTACTAATTTCACACTTAAATTGGCAAAATTAAAGAGCTTCCACTGTGTGTGGGCTCCGAAACAAATGGATGCGCATGAATGAAGCCCACAAAGTAAGCTCAGTCAGATGCTGAATTCACTGGGCTACTGAGCCCTATTCTTATCCTACATACCCAAATCCGTTGCAGCGAAGGAGGAAAAACTGGAGTGTGTCAACTCATAGTCTTCTCATCCCAGTGAGCCGTTTGTACGCGAGTTTATTCTGGTCGAGAGATCCTGCTCTGCCAGATCTCTGCGCTGGGGTCCAGGAAAGAGAGAAGAAAAAAAAAAGCCCCGTGTGAGAAAGCAGAAAGAGGAACAGGTTTGGAGTAAACGCTGGGGGTAAATTAGTGGCTGTACAGCCAGTGTCGCAGTTCCTTTCCCCCCATTTAACTTCAGAAATGGACAGGGACTAAGTGTGCGACCTGCGGGGATTGCGGTGATGAGCGTCGACCGTCCGGCAGACACATCAAATGTGGTCAGAGGTTTGTGGTGACTTCCATTAGAGAAAAGCTTTTCCCGAATCAATGCTCGTCTCCGATAAACGTCCTGAGCAAAAAAAAAAAAAAAAAGCGGTGTTTTTATTCTGTTCCCCGGCTACCTGTGAAGGTGAAGGCGCAAAAAAAGACGCTCATGCCCCGTCATGTTTCAAGTTCGCGGAGCTCCATCAATAATCACCGAGCGTAGACACAAGGTTAAAAAAAATAAGATAATTTTTCTTTTAAAAAAATAGATCATGGGGGGGGTTATGAGAGAAAAAAAAAATGTTCCAAATCTCAGAGTCAATCCCAGTTGGCAAGCCAACCTTAATAAGAAGGCTGTCCAGTGTGACACCGATGCGCACACGGTGTGTACCGTTTATCCTTGCACTCTCACTCCCAGAGCAGAATATCTTGCACTAACTCTTTGTAAACCCATAGGAGGGGTGGTGAAGTATACCCCTCCGACGCCCCCCGCCCCCCCACTAACGCCGGCCTTCGTCATTGGACACCGCCCTCCGCTTCAGCCGCGTCGTCATTTCGAACTGGAACGTGATTGGCCCGCGGCCACGTCACTCAAACGAGTACCCCGTCCGCCTGAGAGATGCTCCATTAAGATGCTGCAGGCTGCAGAGACGCTTAACCAAAAAACCCCGAGGCTTGAGGTGAGCGATGGTTAGGAGGACGATGATGAAGCATTGTTCCTAAATAATAACGGGGGGTCGAAAGGGGGGGGGGGGGGGGAAATACTTTGTGCGTGACTGTGTCAGCGCAGTGAAAACTAAGTCACGGACCAAAATGCAAAAAATTCCAACCTGTTAGTTTGTTTTTCGGGGCAATCCACAATAACTGAGGTGGTCATAAAAATAAAAAAAAGCTGTAGAGGGCATTTGAACCCGTATCAGTTCCATGGATACCGACGCGCCAGGAATAAACGCAGGAACACAATAACATCTCTGTGTGTGAGTCACTTGTAACTGCACTCTAAACAGAGAATCCGTTGTCTAAGCATCTTTGCACAAGGTGCATATTCACGCTCTGTCCAACACGCTTAGCACCCTACACCCGGTCGTTATAGCGTTTGTCCCTAACACATAACCTTGACAGTTATCCTCGTCATCAGAACCATATGCACACGTGGATCACGCAAAGGATGAGCACTTATTAAACAGCTCAGGAGTTGTGGTTATCTGAAGATGCTTTGATGTGTCTTTGGAATTTGCCCCATACCTGTATCTTGCACAAGTTCAAAACAAAAACAAAAAAAACAAAGAAAAGGCTGGACTGTATATTGAGATGCCCCGCAACGAGATGTTAAAAAAGGATGAGAGCTTACTTGAAAAGAGCAGATTGGAGACATCCAGCCATAATTTAACAGCAACTCACAGTTCTCTACGCCGCTGCAGAGAAAGTCAAGCTGTTGAGCTCAAGAGCAAAGCACCCTGCCATGGTGAACACTGCCATCTTGAGGTGGACTTTCACAAATGCCTACACCTTGTTCTGAGCTCCAAATCTCCTATAACCTTGTGTTTTTAAACCATAGTTTTAGTTCAAACTCTGAATTAAACCTGCATATGGGGATCCACGTGGCAGAAAGTGCAGGAAGTGACAGGGTAAGAGGGCATGTGTGGCTGATTAGAAAAGAAAAACGTGAGAATAATCCCCAGTGTTGGTAAATGCTAATGGCTGTGATGCAAAGGACAGGGGACCCACACCGCTGAGGTGAGAACTAGGCTGCAAATGTCTCCTGAGAGTGTGGCTTATTGCCCGGTCAGCAGTCCATTAGCACAACCAACCTAGTGGCCTGACCTTTCTGCCTCAGGATCCAGCCATCAGTGTCCTTAGCTGGTAGAGTGCAGCTTGAGAAGAGATCTGTCACTTCATTTTAAAGTCTGACACCCTGATGTAGAGGGGAAAAGTGACAACATAACTGTTGGCAGTGTTGAAACACAGTTCTGCTCCGGTGACCAGTTGAAGTCATTAGTTACTCATCACCTGCTTCTGCTCGCTCTCTGTGTTGGTGTGTCTTTTTTTTTTTCCTGCAGAACTGGAAAAATGCCAGAATTAGGCGAGAAATTTCAAAGCTTGCCGGGGTTTCTAAGGTGCTTGTGTGTGTTAGCAAGGCGATGATTGGGCAGTAATTAGGAGCACCAAACAGAAAGTACAGCTTAAAAGCCAGAAATCCTGCAAACTTCAGAAGGAATGAGGGGTATGGGTATTGATCACAGACTCTATCAGTACTCCACACTAGTTATGTAGAATCTCTATCTTGCAAGTCAGTAAATACTTTGTTTTTCTTTTTTTTTTTTCAAACCAATAACTTGAGTTCCTCAGGTGGGGTGCAATTCAACAACTGCACAACACCTGGGACAAAGTGTGTCAGGCTTATTTGATTTAGAAGCCTCACATTTGTCTTTAAAAGTAAACTGCAGCCATTCAACCTACTGACAAGGGATGAATAATGTAGTATGCTAATATATGCACTCGGTCTTGCGATGTACCTCCCACTATTTCCCATTGACGAGAGAGCCTGAGGGAAGAGCCTGCCCCTATGATTCCTCTAAGACTGCCCACAGTCAATCGCACTGTTCACCTTGGCTTAATTCTCAATCCGACTTATTGACTTGTCTGCGAGGTGTTGAATTGGCCTCATGAATAACACGAGATAAAAATATGTTTATCCTCCATGTCCATTAAAGTACAAGGTAAAAGGGGTGATTTATATGTGTCCTACCTTAAACAAGGTCTGTCAAGATGTGGCCGGAAAATATAAACAGGTGACTTCATACCTTCAGTGTTACAGAAAGAGGAGCAGCAGCAAACATCAAAGATTCAAACTTTCTCATCAATTTCTTGCATTAATGCAAAGAAGCCATGACAACTGTTGATTTGGAGGTAAGCTTTCAAAGAATACATATGTCTGTATCAATATGTATCTCTCTGTCTACCAGAGTTGTGTGTGTATATCTATCTATTGATCTTTTGATGGAGATAGCGTTGTTTAGCACTGAGCTAAATCACTTGAGCTAAATCCTAATGCTTGTGATACTGTACCACCTGTCTGCTTAACAAAACCTAAAACAAACTATAGGTCGTAGAACACATCATTTGAGCTGTTTAATTTTTTGCTAAATTCACAACTTTATATAATGTTATAGTTTTTAATATCTAGCAGATGGTCTTTTTCATCACCTTTCTGTTGTGTTTTGGCAGTGGAGGACTGAAAAGCAACCCTATTCTATTTTTTATGCTCACTCCCTTTTTTTCTTCTCGGTGTTAATGGTGTGCTGTATCTCACACAATGACCCTAGTTTCATTTTTATTCCTTCTCAATACAAAGAACCATTGGTAGTGCTGATGAAACGTTATGCCCGTTCCACTAAAACCTTTTTTGGGGGATGGTGACTTCTGTCACGAGTGGTAATGACCCAGTAGATAATTGGCATCACATGCTGTGAACCCTGAATGTTAACAGAACTTCCAGGCAGGCATATTCTAACTTAAAAACATGTGAGGGAAAATTTAGAGCAGGAAATATTCATCCTTTTTTGAAAATGATTTAAGTGAAATCAAACCTTTCAATTCCATCAAAGAACTTGTGCTACTTATCAAAGCAATAATGAGATGTTTCTCATGTGCACAGGGCCCCAACTTGGCTTGTGAGTCCAAATGTAAATGCTTGTTCAAGGTAGTTTTTATTATTTACCTTAAGAAAACCCAAAAGACATCCTTTGGTTGCTGCTGAGCTTTCCTAATCACTGTAAATCCATTAAAGATACATTTTTCATGCAGCCAGCACATCCTTTACCACCTACTGGTTGGCATTTGAGACATAAAATGTCATTCATATTAATCATTTGGACATTGATTGACATATTGTTTGATCACAGAAGATATCCTGAGTGGATTAGTGATCCAAGATGCCAAAAATCCTCGATATCCCGTATAGGAGTCAATCTCTCAGGCTTTTATAGCTTCTGTGTGTCTGTAATTTGCTGTCTGTCTTCAGTTTTGGCTGCTGTTTATTCTTTCCTTCACCCTGACACATCTGAATCTCAGATCACTTTGCAGACTGTGCACTGAAGAAGGTCAAATATTCCTTCCCATGCGCTTTTCTTACTGATTTGAAACCTAGAAGC